CCGCTGCTTGGTGTGCTCCGCGCAGAAGTCCGCGTCTCCCACTGGCGCGCCGAGCAGCTCGAAGCTGCGATCGGTGCGGAGGCCGAAGCCCGGCGGGAAGCCGTCCAGAGACACGTCGGAGGCGTCGCCGCCAGTGGGGGCCACCTCGCACTTGCCCGGGCCGGTGCTCAGCTGGAGGCCCACCGCGGCAAGGCTGGCCACGAGCAAGTGGAGGAGGCGCGCGACGGCCGGCGCGTCGCCCGCGAGGCAGCCGTCGTCCAAGTAGAAGAAACTCAGGTCGACGGCGCCGTCGGCGCCGTGGCGCGGCGCGCGAAGGGCGGCCTCGGCGGCGCGCTGTAGTGCTAGGGAGAACAGTAGGGGCCCCAGGGGGTCGCCCTGCTGCACCCCGCACTCGGAGCGGACTGTCTGTTTGCCCAGGAAGAGAGTTGACGGGCGGGAGTAGCACCAGTCGGCCCAGGGCGCCAGCCCGGGAAACTCTTCGTGGACCGCGCGGAGCAGAGCCTGCCTGTCCAGGGTGTTGAAGGCGTTGGACAAGTCCAGCTTCACAAACACCTTTCCCCGGTCCCCGAGGTGGCGGGTCCACCACTGGCGCGCGACGTGCACCGCCGCCTCGGTGCCGCCAGGGACCGCGACGCCGATCTGGAGGGGAGCCCCCCCGAGGCCGAACGCGAGCGGGCGCGAGGGCTGGCGCCTCTCGGACTGCAGGAAGCAGGCGCTCAGCAAGGACAAGGCCAAGCTGAGCTGGGCCACGGCCGACAGGTTGTACTCGTAGTAGTAGTAGTTTTGCGTAGTAGTACTACTACTAACTACTAGCAACCACTACTAGTCTTATCAGCAACTACTGCTACTAGTAACTACGACTTGTAGCTACTACTAGTAATTGCTACTACTAGTATGAACTATTAGTCGTAACTACTCCGGCGACTAGTATCAATTCCTTGTAACTACTACTACTGATTAGTAACTACTACTGCTAGTAACTACTACGACTAGTAACTACTACGAGTAACTACTACTAGTAACTACTACTAATGCTACGACTACTTCTACCAGTTGCTACTGCGAGTAACAATTACTATTAGTAGTAGTGCTAGAAACGACGACTACTAGTAGTTATTACTACTAGTTAGTACTACTACTACTACTACTACGAACTACTGCTACTACTACTACTACTACTACGACTACTACGACTACTACTACTACTACTACTACTACTACTACTATCTATCTATCTATCTATCTATCTATCTATCTATCTATCTATCTACAATCTACACTCTACTATCTACTATCTACTACTACCTACTACTACTACTACTACTACTACTACTACTACTACTGCTACCTACTACGACTACTACTACTACTACTACTACTACTACTACTACTACTACTACTACTACTACTACTACGGCTACTACTACTACTACTACTACTACTACTACTACTACTTTCGCTACAACCATTACTGCTATTGTTAGGTTACTGCACCTGGTGGCGAGGGCGGCACCGAGGCCCTCGGCATCTTCGTCGGCGGCCCCGAGGCCTTCGCCCAGCAGTGGGCCAGCGCGGGCGCGGTCGTCGTCGACGCCGCCTCGCTCTGGCCCCTGGAGCGAGGCGAGGTCTACCCCGCAGGCGCCAAGAAACGCATCCAGGACCTCCGCCGCAAGTTCTGCGAGACTCGAGCACCCCGGCCACATGGGGCATGCGGGGCAGGCCAACTCGAGCGCAGGGGACAAGTACAGGACCACTCTCATCAACATCTCCGCAGTCGAGAACTGGTTCGACCCGAGCAGGGGGCCCCAGTCCGCCGAGAAGCGCATCGCGCTCCTTGCCCCCTGCGCAAGGCACCGCCGAGTGAGCGACGCGAACCTCGAGGGGGGCGCCAGGCGGCGCGACGTCGCCTAGGAGCGGAACGATGGCGAGGCGGAGCGCGCCCGAGCAGGCGAGCCCTTGGGAGCGTTGCTCACGGGCTGGCGCGACGCTCTGCTCGAGTTATCCGAGGAGGAGCGCGGGGGGGTCTTTGATGCCATCGACGCGTGGGGGCAGCCCAGAGCTTGGACGGGCGAGTTGGTCGCTTCGTGGGCCATCGACTTCGTCGAGCAGCATCGCGGCCAGAGCCTCGCGATCGCAGACTGCCGCTCGAGCCAGTGGGCCGAGGCAGCGACGCTCCGAGCGTGGCTCCAGAATGTGATCTACGCGCCCATGGCCCCCGACGTCACGAGCGTTTTGCGGGGGCCGGGCGCTCGCGAGCAGAGCCAGGTCAGGGCCGCTATCCGAGAGGTCGAGGCCGAGATGCATTGGGCCACGGGGCAGGACTGGATCCAGAAGGCCAAGGCCGAGCCCCAAAAGCAGCGCAAGTCCCCAACCCAATGGGGGCCCACGAGTGCCTCTACTACGTCTCCGAGGCCAACACCAGCTTCCGCGAGAAGAACAAGGACGCTGTGCCGCTCCAAGGGCTGCAGGCGAACCAAATGCTCGCGGCCCGGCCGACAGGGCAGGGCGAGCCCAAGGTCGCCGCGGGCATGGGGCCGTGGAGCCACTCCACCGAGCCCGGGCGCGGCATCGAGAACAGCCTGGCGAGGGGGCGCCCGGGGTCATCCCGAGCTGGCCCGAGGGCGCGCCGCCCGTTCCCGCGTGGGGCGTCCTCGACGGAAATGCTTCCACAACGACGACTTGCCCAGGGACTGCCAGCAGGACGAGAACTCCTGCCTCCTGGAGCTCTGGGAACTGTACCTCGAGCTCACCGACGAGCAGAAGGATATGCTCAGAACGTCAGAAGAGCGGATCAAGGAGATCCAGTTCCGCGCGCCCTCGAGAACAGGATCAAGCTGAAGCGGACAAATCATCGCATGAACAGGCGAGCCCTTTCTCGGCATGCGCGCGCGCGAGTGGCGGCGCGAGAAGGCCCGGACTGGCGGCGAGGCCTCGCTCGGGCACCTTAGCCGAGGCGTGGCTGAGGCGAAGCTCGCAGGCAGGCCGCCGGAGGCGCGCGCGAGCTTCTCCAGTTCAAGCAGAAGAAGCAAGCAGACTAACACCGAAAAGAAAGCGAACACCAAAAAGACAACAGGCCTCGAGGCTTGCGAGGAGCCCCCCTGGCACGGCAAGGTGGCGCGCGTCACCGGGGAGTGCGTCCGCGAGGGCAGTCGCGGCAGAGTGCAGGACGTCTGGTGAGTCCTGGCGCCGAGGACGCGCGCCGCCTGCGTGTCCTCGAGGTGGAGAACGCGGCGGCCTCCCAGATCGAGAGCAGCAAGGCCGGGGGGGGCGCGCGGGCGCCCCCGAGACCGTTCTGGCGGTCGAGCCCACGGCGGCCGCCACCTGGGCTCGAGAGGGCCAGGGCGAGGGCGAACCTGCCGCCCGGCAGCCCGAGGGGAAGCGCTGGGCCGAAGGGGTCGAGAAGGCCCGGCACGTCCTGGTCTGCGTGCACTCCGAGGCGCCTGTGCACTACACGTACATCAAGGTCGGAGGTGGCTACGATTGCTTCTACCCAAAGGTGCCCCCAGTTTTCCGTTCCGTTTTGGAGCGAATCCTGGAGGCAACCTGTGCACGGGGCACTTGTAGCAACGCCCGCCAAGCTCTCGAGGATGGGCGGGGGCGTCGCGGCGGAGTACCGCGGCGCCCTCGAGCAGCCGTCCGAGAACGACGAGCAGGCCCAGAAGGGCCACGTGCGAAATCACACCTACACCTAGTGATTTCTGAGGGGACGAGGTCGGTTTCACCTTGCTTGGGAGCTGGCGAACGAAGCGAACCCCGCCCTCCTCAGAAATCGCGGGTAGGCATCGCATGCGGCCTCCCGAGGTAGCCGCGAGGGCCCCCCGCAAGGTCGGCGCCGTCGGCCCTGACGAGAGCTGCCCTGCGCCGAGCAACGCGATGTTCCAAGCCGACCGTCGGGGCTGCGGCGAGTGGGCGAATCGCTGGATTGAGCGCGCCCTGCGCGAGATCCGAGGCGAGGGCCGCCAAGAGCCCGCGAGCATCTACGCGACGCGCGCCCGAGGCAACGAGTGGATCAATACGCTCGAGGAGGCCAGCGACGATGACTGGGCCAATGCCATGGCCAGGCACAAGTCCAAGCCCTGCAAGGACCCCGCGGCGGCCGAGCCGAAGTGCGCCACCTTTGAGGAGGCAAGCGCCGCCGCCCAAGCGTGCACCAAGTGTCTCCCACGCAAGGGCGGCTCCAAAGGATGCCGCGCCTGCGTGGGGGAGTGGTTCGAATTCTAGCGCGAAAGAGGTTTCTTTGCCAGAACGGCCAAGGACCTCTCTTGCGCGGGCAAGTTCTAGGCGCGAGCCGCGGGGTCTCTCGAGTCAGCATTGCGCCGAGCGCCTGCAGGCAAGTTGCATAGCTGCGAGCTTCGATATCTGTCGAAGCAGCACTGTGCCAAGCGCCTGCTGGCAAGTTGTATCGCCTCGAGCATCGAGATCTCTAGAGTCAGTCCATTGCGGAGCACCTGCTGGCAAGTTGCGTAGCCACGAGCATCGTTGTGATTTCCAGAGTCAGTCCTGTGCCGAGCGCCCGGGATCACCATCCTCATGATCATCGCTATCATCATCATCATCATCATCATCATCATCATCATCATTATCATCATCATATCTCACTTTCCCGGGGGAAATATTTCATTATCCTTGCCAGACCCCCGATTTTATCATCCCCGGGTGATTATTATCGCTCGTGGTCGGTTAGTGGCATGGGTATTTTTTTGTTTCCCCGTTCTGTGTTGCATATACAGTCAGCCCGCATAATACAGATATGCGATGTTCCACTGTTGCCTGTGCATCCTTCCCTTTCGGCCAGTCATTGGCCGCGTTCGCTGGAAGCGTTCCGCCCGCCATGTGTTAGCATGGCTTTCCTGGGCTTTGCATCCTTACCGCGCGTCCTTTTTTATGCGGGCTGGTTGTACACATTAATATACTAAGTGTACGCACGTGTAGAGAGTTGCCCCTGCGATGGCATCGTCGCTCCACGGAGGGGTGGGGTCGGCCGGAGCGGCACCTGCCAGGACGATGAACTCGAGATCGGCCGCGTCCCGGCCGCACTCCAGAAGCAGCCGAAGGTCTTCGTCTTGAGCGATGACGCCGATTTGCTGGACGACGAGCTGGAAGACGATGGGCTGGACGACGGGTTGGACGACCCGTTGCAAAGTGTCAAAGGAGCTGCTGTTCCCACTGTGTTGGCCAGTGCGAATGCCGTTGCTCCAGCCACGGCCTCAGGGGTCGCGCGCTGCAGGATTACCGATGACACCGCCAAGGGGATCACGACCTCGCGGAGATCTTGTGAGTTTGCATCGAGCATGTCCAAACATTGCCACATGTCAGATCAGTTGAAGTCCTTGAGCGGATTATCCCCACGAGCATCATCAATTTGTAGTTGCGCGGACGGCACGGTCTTCCCCCGAACGTTGGACAGGAGCACGACGAGGACGGGGGGGAGCCAGGAGGGGAACGAGGAGGAGAGGAGGAAACCAGGAGGATGAGGAGGACGAGGCCGGGGAGCCGGCGGAAGAGGAGGGTTTCGGCTGAAGCAGACCAGCGGCGTCCCAGCCGGCCCTGTGCACGCGTGTGGGCGCGGCCCGAGCGGCCCGAGGCTGGTTGGCCCGTGTCGCGCCTGCTCCTGCGCTGGCGGGGCGAGCCGGCTCTGAGGGTGGAGTTCGAGGCCACGCCGCCTTTTTGTGCCTCGGAGTCACGCAGTGGCGGAACGTCTTCACCTGCCTGCAATCAGCATCGTTTAACCGACCCCCATCCCCATGCCCATCCAGGCCCCCACCATTTTGCCACCCCAGTTGGGGAGATCTACCCCTCGGATCCCGAAGGAAGCAGCCTATATGTCCATCTAGGGGGGTAAATCGGCCAGTGGGGCCCATGCCACGCCGCTGGGGATAGGGATCGGTTAAGAGATGCTCACATAGGCTCACCCAACAGTGTTCCTATTCCTTCCTTTTGTGTTTTGGGCGAAGTGTTATCAGAACAGTTCTGGCTTAGAAACCGCAGTGATTTAGCACATCGGGTTTATGATATAAGACATGTGTTGTGTTGTTCGGACATTGCTTTGTTCTAATATTATGAGAGCATATCATGGTAGGCCTATAGAAATGCCTGCACGGTCGTTCTCTGCTCAACGGAGGGGAGGAATATACGGCCGGCGTTGGACGGACAGCGTGCAATGTGGCGCGGCCAGCCCGATTATTACAAGCTATCCCCGCACCTTGGGAATAGCATGCGCCGAAGACGCCCTTGAAGGGGGATGACGTGCACAGAAAGGGTCGGGGGGGGTCGCGCCACAGGGATCGAGTGCTTTTCTCAGATGGACGTAGCACGCTATCGTTCCAACGGCAACCGTACCCAACACGATGCCCTTCCCTTGGTCGTTGTGGAGGGCCCTCGGCGCCACGGCTGGGTTCGATTCGCCTCGGGCTGGTCGGACGCGCACCTAGGGTGGAGTTCGCGGCCCTACCGCCCGTCTCGCGTGAAACTGGCGGGTCCTGAGGGAATCGGATTTTGTAGATGTTTCACCGTTTCCGGGCTCTCAGGGAACTTCCGCGCTTCCTCGCCATGAAGCAAGCGGGTTCTGAGGGGAACGGGTCCTCGAGTTTGTTTTGTCCCAACCATTATGTGTTGAGTTGGGGCTTCGTTTTGAAAAGAGCGCTTCGCGTTTGTTCTCGTCTCCTCTTTGTTTACATTCGCGTGGCGTGGCGTTCTTGGCGTACCGCTGGTGTTCTTGAAGGTAGCACACTAAAGACGCAGGCGACTCGGCTTAAAAAAAGGACCTGGCGGGTTCCGCGGGCAACGTAGCAAAACGAGGCCTGGAAAAGACGAGAATATCGAGTAGGCGCCCGCCAGGTCCTAGAGGACGGCTCTGACCTTGGTAAGGTAAGCCCCGAATCAACCTTAGCACCTTAAGCTCCAATGGTACGGCCGCCTCAGCTTGCAAGATGCAAGCCAAAGTAAAAGGAGCGACGAGAGCCATGCAAGTGGATATATGCGAACTGACATGTAGCAGTCTTAGGGTCGCTGCCCAGGCTTCAAGGTTGACCCCAAACTGTAAGTACATCCTTCCCAGCAAGCCCCCCGCACTGATCATCCACTCACACCAAGCCTCCACCGCCAGTCCCCAAGGTCAGAGTGAGGCAGGCGGTACATATTGGCTTGCACGAAAGTTTAAGCAATTGAGGCTGTAAGGCATGTACTCAGCACGCAAGGTATATGTCGCTACTGTAGGGCGCCATAACATCAAATGAGTACGCATAGAAGAGTGCCGCCGAGTGATTACCAACGTTGGGTACGAATGCGAGGTGTGACAGGGCAAGTGCTGTGAAGGTCGAGCCTCTGGAGAAACAGCCGGTGGTATTGCTGGTGTCCCTCGACTGAAGGTCAGAGCCTTAGAGAAGAGTAGTGTTCCTCCCCACCCCCGTATGGTAATGCACCCGCTCCCTCCAACCCCTGTCCATTTTGACAGTACGTGGCTGGCCGCAAATGTGAAAAGGGAGGGATGGTAAATGGATAGGCTTCGGAGTGAGATGCACAATTCTTTACGCTTCGCGTATCCCCACCAGCCCATCTCACAGCAGCAACTCTTGCGAAGCATACCGACAGTCGTGTTTTTCAGGCGTGTGTCCGCTTGGCCCCGCATATGTCCCCTGTTCCTCCTTCCTCCCGCCTCCTTGTACATCCTCCTTGTGGGGGGAGCGGGAGAAGGACGAGGCGGAGGAGGAGGGAGAGAAAGCGCTCCTCGTGATTTGAGTCGTTTGGGGTTTCTCGTCCTGGTGTGAGTCGTTCGGGCCCTTCTTCCTGGTGTGAGTCGTTCGGGCTCTTCGTGGTGTGAGTCGTTCGGGCTCTTCGTCCTGGTGTGAGTCGTTCGGGCTTCTCGTGGTGTGAGTTGTTCGGGCCCCTCATCCTGGTGTGAGTCGTTCGGGCCCCTCCTCCTGGTGTGACTCGTTCGGGCTCCTCGTGGTGTGAGTCGTTCGGGGCCCGCGTCGTGGTGTGAGTCGTTCGGGCTCCTCGTGGTGTGAGTCGTTCGGGCGTCTCGTCCTGGTGTGAGTCGTTCGGGCCCTTCCTTGTGGTGTGAGTCGTTCGGGCTCTTCGTGGTGTGAGTCGTTCGGGCCCCTCGTCCTGGTGTGAGTCGTTCGGGCTCCTCGTGGGGCCTCTTGGGGCCTCTTGGGGGCCTCTTGGGGGCCTCTTGGGGGCCTCTTGGGGGCCTCTGGGGGGGGGCCTCTTGGGGGCCTCTTGGGGGCCTCTTGGGGCCTCTTGGGGGCCTCTTGGGGGCCTCCGGGTGGCCTCTTGGGAGCCTCCTGGGGGCCTCTTGGGGCAATTTTGGGGCCTCTTGCGACCTCCTCAGAAGCGCAAAGGAGCGCTGGCCCCTGAGAAGGACAAAGTGACGCCAAAACCTTGGTCAAATCAATGCTTTTGCTATGAAGGAAGGTGAGCGCGGCCGCCTCAGGAGGCCAACATGGGGCCAAAACCGTAGTAAAATCAATGATTTTGGCTTCAAAGAAGAGCAGAGGGGCCAAACTCGGCCCCCCCGTCGGGGCCAGAATCCTCGTGAGGGTCGTCGTTTTTTGGCCCTCCCAGGAGTCGAAAAAGACCCCCCTGAGAACACTCGGGACTCCCTCTCCAGGCCCAGGGGGAGGGGGTAGGGGGAGGGGTAAACCCCTCCCCGAAGGGGAAGAAGGGGGGTTGAGGACAGAGCGGGCTCTCTAAACCACTCACGCCCAAAGGGCTGGCTTCGGAGTGAGATGCACAAGTAGGGTTAGCCTGTGTAGACGCAGGCTTGCAAAATGTTGAAACTGCTCGTGGGGTTGAGTAGGGGATGTAAGAGGAATGTCGAGGGGAGAGTGTCGTGAGCTGCCGAGGTGGGCAGGCATCAAGTTATTTAAATAATTGCATGTGGCAGCTCTTGGGTTGCAGCCAAGGTTTCTTTTGGTTTATCCCAAGCCACTGCGGTCCCAGTTTCCCCGTGCGTTTGGTAGTTTTCCTTCCGGGTTCAGCACGAACCCTTGTTGTCCAAGATGTTTGTACAAGACGCGTGTTTTCTGCTAGTGGTTGGGTGGTTGCACATGTGAGAAAGGGGAATGCATAGACGCTTTGGTGAGGGATGCGCTTCTCGGGCTGCGCAACCAGGCCATAGCCTGTGTATATACAAGCTTGCGAGGTGAAACCTGTAGCAAGCAAGTGTAATGCGCATACTAGCTTTGTAAGTGACTACGGCCTGCAGTAAATGGTAGGCGGGCCTGCCAGGCTGGCCTGCTAGGTTCGAAACTGCTCGTGCGGATGATGTGCGAGGTGCATGAACAACTCATAGCCTGTGTAGATACAGGCTTGCCGCGCGCAGTTGAAGTTAGTAATCGTCCTGTGGCAAAACATGTAGGCGCATGCTGAGTCAGTGAGTGGCTGGATTTGCAGTACAGTAGGCTGGCCTGCGAGGCTGGCCTGGTGCGGCTGAGGCTGCCCGTGGGGGTGAGGAAGGGGGGATGCGTGAATGAGGGGTATGAATGGTATGGTTGCTAAGGTGCGGCAGGCAAAAACATGACGGGCAAAGTGGTCTAGCAATATTTGGGTTGCGTGCCAGGGTTGTTGTCGGTTAGCCCCAAGCCGACGAAAGCAGAGACATAGAGAAAAAGAGAGAGAGAGAGAAAGAGAGAGGGGGGGCGGCCAGCGTATCAAGAGGACGGGGGGTGTAAGCAGCAGCAGGGAATCGTATGGCCGAGGAGGAGGACGGGAGTAGCGTTTTGGTGGCGCTTTGTATAGTCGTGCTATCTGCTTGGGCGGCTGTTCCTTGCACGGTGCCCCCGTTGGGGGGTGTCGTGGAGATGGTTGAGGAAATGTTCGTAACGCGTCTGGTGTGAGTTGAGCCTGTCGATGTAGCTGTAACGTTGGGTCCCCTTGTGCTGTTTACAAAGATGATGCTGCGGCTGCAGGCAAGTATGTGTTGGTCGCCTCGTCTCGCTGCTGCGTTGTGCCCTGTGCTGCGTGGGTTGGGAATGCGTACGTGGTGCTAGGCAGCTCCGCGTCCTGGGACGGCTGTGCGTGTTGGAGCCAAACTGATCCATGGCAATGTGCCACAACAGTCAATGCATCAGCAATGTACCAAGTACGCCAGAGCATTCAAGCAACAGGTCATGCATAATTGCCACGAGTACGTCAGAACCTTCACGCTAAACAAGTATGCGAAGGTAGTGCTCCCGCGTGCTGACATGGACGGTGGACACGCGTGATGGGTGTGTATCCTGACTCCGCCGTTGGTTGTAGGCGCGCAAGCATACATTGATTGGCCACTCCTTACCAGTCCTCCCTTAGCCCAGGCGTGTAAGAGAATATGTCTGGACAGTCCTTGTGCGGATCTGAACTGGAGGCGCGCGATGGTGTAGTAGTCGTGTAATTGGGCATTGGTTGCCATATCTCAGTCTTCCCCTTACTAAGCCCAGGCCTACAAGGGCATGTGCCTGTACATTTTTATTCGGTCACGGCTGTGTGAATAACCTGTATACAGTAACACTGGTGGGTCAGGAAAGACAGACTGAGACCACCAATTGATTAGTTGCATCGTAATGTATGGTCAAATTAATGTCAGGCGGGCCTGGAACAATCCAATTGTAACCAGGCATTGGATGCTAACAAGGAGTGCGCGGTGAGTCACTGTAGCCTTAGTTTGTAAGTTTC